AAACATGAAATGGGGTATAAACTGTTTAATTTCTTAATAACAAATAGTTAAAAATAATAAGCACATACCTGCATGCGTGGAGGACCAGTATTTGGACCGACGGGTGGACCCTGTTGCATATGTTGTGGTCTATATTGACCTGGTGCCATATTGGGATTAATCATACGTGGAGGATGACCAGGAGGCACACCTTGTCCACCAGGATGTGGAGGCATTGGCCCACCCACTCCCATATTTGGTGGCGCCGGACCACGTGGAGGACCATTTTGCTGTGAGGGTGGCACCGGCCGTGTTTTCTGCAAACTCTCGAACTGGTTTAGTGCCTGCTTCGTTGGATAGGTTACAACAGGTGCCTGGCCATGCAACTCCTTTTTAGGTAGACGTTCCAAAACTAGTCGCAAGCTGGCTTCAGATCCTAGCGATATAACACTAAATCCTTTCGATTGACCGTTAGCTCTGTTTTCAAAAAATTTAACCTCTTGAAAATCTGTTACTCCAATTTCTCGCATAACATTAGCAATATCTTGGTCGGTTGTCCACTGTAAGAACAAGAAAGAATATACACCAAAAATTAAATTTTTTTTTTACCACCTTTGCCTTTAATTTTTATTATATATTTTTAATAGAATTGATATAATAACGAAGGTAATGGCAATTATAAATATAAGCAATTATATACATCATTTCAATTTATATAAATCAATCCTTTTAGTATATGCAAGAATGATCAAACATACCCATGTTAAATTGCCTACGTACAGCTGGTAACGGCGACCCATATGATTAGGAGTTAAACTACCACCTCCTTGATGGTAAAGACCATTTGAACCACTACCGTTAGCGGCTGAATCGCCTCCAACTACTGGTGCAGCATTTTCAACGGGATTTACAGATACTGTCACTCCGGCAGGGACAGATGATGGTTCTGTGGGACCACCTATATCATCATACAGATCTACACCTTCTGCTGCGAATTCCTCCTGAAACAAATAAAAATTAAACCCCGAACGTAATGTGTAAATAATTTATTTTTCTCACCTGGTTCTGCGCGGCAAAATCTTTATCCAAATCTTCAGCATAAAGATCCAGCACAGCACCGTCAGCCATGACCGATATTAACTAATTTAAATTTTTCTTAACAATTTAAACTGGCCTTATACCTAAAACCTCAAGGAAATTTATATTTCAATTTCGTTAACTTTTGTTAACAAATTTTCACCCTCCGTTATAAGCAGCATTCAATTAAATATTATGTATGTATATTAGAAACGGTACGCTCTTTTTATACCAACCACACCGGCGAAAACGTGAATTTTATCCACAAAATCTTACGCTTCTTTCTCACTTTTTAGCAACATTTTTCTACACATGATAATTTGATAACTGTAACTATATACTTTCAACGCGAACTGATGATATAATTCACAACTTATACCTCTAAGAATTAAAATATTATGACTTCTCTGAATAACCCGCAGAAAAATATTTTTTCTCAATTCATACCGCAATCGAATAGAAAATGGTGCACGAAAGCTGTGAAAAAAAAGAAGCGTAAGAAACAATTGCGACACCTGAAGGCAATTCGTGCAGATTTGCATTTTAGTAGAATTGCCACATTATATTTTTATTGTGTTGAACAAATTAAGAAAATTGTTTAAATAAACTGAATGTTTGAAAAAATTAACAAATAATAATATATTTACCGATTCTGTGAAGTTAGTAAATAACTTTTGTTTATCGTTTCCCAACGTTTAATTATTAAACTTTCAGTTAAAACATTTCTAAAACTAAATCCTTCGAAATATCACGAAACCCTCAATAAAAAAATAAAATTGGGCATTTTCTGGCAGCAGATCTGAAACAACTCATAGAATCCTCTCTATAATTGTAATAAATTTGCATTTGCAAACATCACATACAAAACATATTTACATATTTCCAAAATTTTTGGTTTAGCTTATTGGCCAAAGTGGAAAAAGAAACCCTAACATAAAAATAAAACAATCAGGATTTATAATTAAATTTTGAATAAAATTGTAAAGTTTTATTAACAAAATAATTATCAAAAGCTTCGTATTTGTTATTAAATATTACTGTTGTCATTGCGTCCCAAAGCAGAAAGTGTACATTTGTCGAATAGTTTATAACGGTGGGAGAAGGAAAAACGATCATACAAGAAGAATGTGGGACTCCTCGGTGTTCCTAAGCACACTAACACCGAAGTTTTATGTGGCTCTGACCGGAACATCGAGTCTTATTTCCGGATTAATTTTAATTTTCGAATGGTGGTATTTTCGTAAATATGGTACATCTTTCATAGGTAAAACAGCAATTTTTATTCATCTTCAATTTAATAATATTTAAAATTATTATGTAAAGAGCAAGTCTCTATAAACCACATTAGTCCATGGATAAATGGTAGCGATGCACAGGCTGAAGCTAATGGGAATGGAAATAATGGTAGTGCAAATGGAACACCAGGAAGTTCTAATAATCAGACAGCTGGTTCAAGCCAGCAAATGCCAGAGTGTAAAGTCTGGCGCAATCCTTTGAACTTGTATCGAGGAGCAGAATACCAACGCTTTTTTTGGGCAACTAACAAAGAGCCTCTAACTTATTATGACATGAATCTGAGCGCCCAAGACCATCAAACATTCTTTACATGCGAAGGTAATTACATGTAAATATATAATACTAATGTACACTAATTTTAAAAATATTCCTTAAAGTAGGAGATGCGAGAAAAGAAGAATATGAAATAATGCAAACAGCTTGGCGAGAACGTAATCCAGTTCAAAGAATAAAAGCCGCACATAATGCACTTGAAATTAATCCAGAATGCGCGCCAGCATACATACTTTTAGCTGAAGAAGAAGCTACAACTATTTTGGAAGCTGAAAAAATATTAAAAACGGCACTTAAGGTTGCAGAAATAAATTATCGGAGATCACAGGCTACACAACATCAAGGTCCTATAGCCGAAGCTACACATCGCCGTGATACAAATGTACTAATCTATATTAAACGACGACTGGCGATGTGCGCACGGAAGCTGGGAAAATTAAAAGAGGCAGCCAAAATATTTCGTGATCTCAGCAAAGAAATTCCATCTATCATGAATGTACTAAACGTGCATGAAAATCTCATAGAGACGCTGCTTGAGATGCAAGCATATGCCGACTGTCAGGCAGTTTTGGCCAAATATGATGATATTTCTTTACCTAAATCGGCAACAATTTGTTATACAGCAGCGTTATTAAAAGCTCGTTCTGTGGCAGATAAATTCTCGCCCGATATAGCATCAAAGCGCGGTCTTAATACCATTGAAATGAGCGCCGTCGAAGCAATTCATCGAGCTGTTGAATTTAACCCGCATGTACCAAAATATTTATTGGAAACAAAGCCTCTTATATTGCCACCAGAACACATATTAAAACGTGGCGACTCAGAAGCGCTTGCTTATTCTTTTTTCCATTTAAAACATTGGAAAAATGTGGAAGGAGCAATAAATTTACTTCATTGCACATGGGAAGGTACATTTCGTATGTTGCCATATCCGTTAGAGAGGGGCCATTTATTCTATCCATATCCAACATGTACAGAATGTGCTGATCGCGAATTACTGCCCGCCTTTCACGAGGTGTCAGTTTATCCCAAAAAGGAATTGCCATTCTTTATTTTATTTACAGCAGGACTTTGCTCTTTCACAGCACTTTTAGCTTTGCTTACACATCAGTATCCTGAGCCGATGGGAGCGCTTGCACAAAATGTTCTTCTTTATATCTCCTATCCATTTCAAATATTAAAAGAGCGCGTTGAAGCATTATGGCCATGTAACTTTCTTCATCAGCTGACTCGAGTTTAAAATTTATGTTCATAAAATGGTAACGTAATTTAATAATTTAAGAAACATTAACAAGTTGGTGAATGCATCAAGATGTCGGACCCACACATAACTTGAGATTTTTTTTTAAATTGCACGATACTAATTTAAGTTGTTTTGTATGATTTGATTATATTTATTCAAATAATATTTACCAATTAGTTGCTTAAAGCAACTACTTACATATGGATATGAAAGTGTTAAATTCAGAGAATGAATTAGCAATCTCAAGTCAATATAAAGTTACTAAAAGCAAACTTACAGTGGATTTAATTTTGGCATATTTTGCTTCCTTTGTTGTGGAGGTACATTTTGAAGATTTTGCACGTGATAATTTTCAGTACTTTATACATATGTCATTAAGCACTTGTTTCGGTCTATTTTATATTGCTTGAAAGGAATAACATCAGCGACGTCTATCGGTTCCACGTTACCGGAATTGATCTGGATTTTATAGGACCTTAGGCTGTTTTTTCGGAGATCACCCCGTTTGAATCGGTAAGTTTCAGAGTAGGTTTTATAACACTGGAGTAACTTCTTGCATCAGCTTTGGTCCGTATACTCCTGAATGGTGCTAGCATTCACTCCAACTCGGGCAAGTACCTCATACGGCCCATAAGAGCTTAAACACACATCATGACTCCCATTCTGACAATAGTGTGCGTGTATTTATGAATGGATGTGTTTTTATCATATTTGTGTAAATACGCGTAAATAGGGGATCATTTAATAAACATATTGAACTGAATGAAGTGTTTTAATTGTATCAATTAATATAATATGCTCTTAAATTAATTAAATTTAAACTCCATGATTTGATTTAACTTTTGCCACTTCTCTATTCATATACATTATCTGGTCAGACTCTCCTTTTTCTATAAAAATAAATTGTTTGCTATTTGTTAAGAATAATCATCTAAATAAATAAATTTAAATAATTATAATGTATAAGATATTTGTAATATGTCAAATATGAGAAAATTTTAAAATGTATACAACTTTATACAATAAATATAAAATCGGGCTAAGTCCCGGTTAAGTAGACTTCGCTGTCATGGGAACAGAATTATATCAATGAAACCCTTTATTGTGACTTTTTCTAAAGAAAAAGATAAGAACAAGCAACAATACAAAAGCCAAATCTTGTTTATATTTTACTTTGCCGAAAGTGTTGACAATATTCGAGTGAAATAAACATCTTAAAATGGCATCAGGATTGGAGGCCTATATAAATCATACGGTATCTATAATTACCGCAGACGGACGAAACTTTATTGGCACACTAAAAGGGTTCGATCAAACTATAAATGTCATCCTCGACGAGTCGCATGAGCGAGTCTTCTCTACCACATCTGGCATCGAACAAATTGTTTTGGGACTCCATATTATTCGTGGTGATAACATAGCTGTAATTGGTCTTATAGATGACCAAATTGATTCGCGACTTGACTTGGGTAACATACGAGGGGAACCATTGGGTCCAGTAGTGCATTAAGGTTCCTTATCTATTACAACAATAAAACAACTAATCCCAATTAAACAATAAAATTTTTATTATTTTCGTATTTTGATAATAAATTACGTCGTTGATTTACTTTATTATTTATCTGTCTTAAATATTATTTCTTTACAATCCAGAGTATCCAAGTCGACAACAGCAATGCTTTGTGTTTTCGAAAAGTTGGGTACACATATTAATCTTGTAGTTTGTTTCTTTGAACCTTTATGTAAATCAGTTTCAAATACGTCACAATTTCCCGCGAAATACACGTGAGGACATTCTTGCAAAATAAGAGGATCTGTGTCAACATATGGGTAACACGCAAGGGTGTCCGGTGCTGTTGGTGCTAAATGTCCCCAAATCAAAGTACTTCGTAGCGCTTCTAAAGGCTTCTCGATCATTGTACATCTAAGTAAGTCATTTATATTCTGTCCAGAACAACCCACAAATTGATTATTATCTAATGAAAAAGCATACGGGTTAGGAACACTTCGGAAAGATGTACTCTTAGAAGCCTTGGGGAACATAAATTGATGAAACGGTTGTTGAGGAAGCATAAAGTTGGCTGGATCATGCGCTCCTGGCATTATGTCAATTGATACACTTTTCGACCAAGAAGCAAACCAACCGTCAATAGCACATATTGCTTCTACTGCTCCATTATTATCGTTGTTACGAGTTTGCAAAGATGCAGTTTGAGATTCTTCTGTTGTCTTTCCGACCGAATTTCCAGCCACAATTATGCGAACTATTTTTGAATTTTGTTTTCCAAACACGTTACCACATAACCAATGTTGAAATAAGTTAAGTTCGTCGATATAATCATCTGCCCCTGTACAATTAATACCGGATAATAGGACAAGTTTTCGATTATAACCTTTATTGGGCAAAGGCTTTTGAGGACCTGCTTCATAATATAGTATTTCTTCGACATCAAATCGGCCATCTTCCTCAATGCTTCCCAAAACAGCACAAACTACACCGGATGACATAAAACGACCGTCTACTTTACCATACAAACGCACTCGTTGAAGCTCATCTTCAAGAATTAACTTATCTTCAAGGTCTGCATAATGTTCACGAGGTGGTTGCGGAGCGAGTTGGTTCTCTTCAGAAATTTCACGCAATATACTTGGTTTATGAGCTTGATGTTTGTAAATTGTACCTATAATAATGCAAGTTTCTGTTTGCTCCTCACGCAAATCGCAAAGTTTCTTTACAGCGTATTTGTTGCTCCAATGTTCCTCCGCTAGTGGTGAAAGGAGCGATGTCATTTCCCTTAGTCGATGAGCATAAAAGTGTGAGTATTGTTTGTGGTAATCGAATGAGGTAAGCCGAAATTTGTTGGATAAGTCCTCATACTCAGATTTACTTCGAGATAGCATTGTTACGTTTTAAAAACTAATATATGGATATTTCTACAGCGAATATACAAAAAACACAATTCGTTGTTGTTTATAACAAATTGACCGGGAAATTGTATTCTTCTTCTTTTATTAAATCAACAATTCACAATTTTCTTACACAGCTGAAAACAGCTGCTCAGTAATCACATAAAAAGGTTAAGTATATGGATTGCGGCCTGATTGGGTTATGTCAGTTTCTATAATAAAGTAAATAGTTCAATTAAATAAAAATGTATCGAAGAATTGTTACGAATCTTGTGAAGCTTGTACCGAAAAGAAATCCGAACGCGATAATGCGACCAATGTCTGCAAAGTCGGTGGTATCTAAATCAATTGGAAACTGGGATTTGTATGCATCTGTCCTTGTGGAACGTCTGCCCATCGTATCAAAAAGTTTTAACGCCATTGAACGTGAATTCCAGGAGCAACTAAGGCGCGTAGAGTTCGAGAACAGTTTGCAGTCAGATCATGAACTTAAACATCAACGAGATTTAATACAAAGTGAATTAATCAAAAAAGGAAAAATGGAAGTGGACCTTGACGACAGCGCTTCCAAGCAGACAGCACAAGATTTAAAAGATGCCTACTCAGAGGAGTTGAAAAGTTTTCAATTTGCTTTACGGTCTACTGCGGACGATGCAACCAACAAAACAAATTCAACAAATAGATGTTTAGAAGATACTTTGTATCTGGTTGTCGAGGAATCATTAAGCAAACAAGCGGTGAAAATGTTACCACAAGGTCCACGATTTGATGGGGAGACCATGCGTCAGGCGGCAGAACGAGTGCTACGAGAGAAATGTGGTACTCAATTGGAGGTTACTTTCTATGGAAACGCACCATGCGGATTTTACAAATATAAATATCCGAAAGAAGTGCGTAAAAGTAGTATCGGAGCCAAAGTTTTCTTTTACCGAGCATCCCTGCATGGCGGTAATGTCGATACAGCTATTGCGAAAAATTTCGAATGGCTGACAAGGCCAGCATTAGAGGAACAACTTCAAAAATCTGAATATTCAGAAAGTATACAAAAATTTTTGTTATAGAATAAATGTACATCTACCCAAAACATGCAAATAAATCCTGGTTAAAATCAATTTAGTCGTTTTTTGATATATAATATATGTATATGTATTAAAATTATTGACTGCGACATATGTAATTGGAATCGCCAATGTCGATCTTAACCCAAACTTGAAACTCATACAAGAGAATTGTCAGTCCCTAGCGGTTCCCTCTTAACAAGTTATATTAAGGCTCAATAAAATTGTTTTCAAAAATTCCAAGTCACAAATTTATAAACTCTAGATATCAATTAATAAGTATACGATTATATTTATTAGACATGCAGTATATAGATATATAACTTTTTATTTAATAAAATATTTGCAAATTTATAAGTGCATCTGAATACTTTAAATCTGCGTCAAATAAATGCATTTGTATACAAAAGAAACGAAAATATAATTCTATGAATTATCGTCACTGAATTTTAGTCAATAGTATTTTAGATTTAATAGTTCTTTTTCTACTTTTAAGCCTCGTAGCAAATGCAGTCATAAAATCTATGAAAAACTATATTTTTGTTTTTGATTCGGTTATATTTAATCATTTTGGATTAATATTTGTAGCTACCCATATACCTACAGAGGTATGGAAGTTCAGGCTATCTTGCACTCTAGATAAATTTATAAGTTGCAGCAAGCTTTTTTTTCTGAAAATATGTATGCGTTTACGAATATTATAGTTTTCTTCATCATACAAGAATGCGCGTTGTGTAGGAGTGATTAATAAATATGCAAATATATTATTAATGTGGCGGCTTACATAGATAATTTTATGACTTGCAATTGATATTTTTTGCTGCCAAATACTTGTTTCTTAGTTGCAAGCGAAACTCAAGTAGACAATGAAATATAATACTTAACTCTAAACTACCCAAGTAATTGCAGGAAATATTTCACTTTGATATTAAGAACAGTATTTAAATGTTTAATATTATTTTTGATTTAATTTTGAAACAGTGTTCTTGTAAACTCGATATAATCGAGTGCATCCTTAATAGGTTGACCAGAGCGGGGTTCTGAATAAGGCTTCATACGCTGCACACAATAGTCTGCCATGTCCTTGGTTAGGTTCTAAAATAAATAAATTTACGTTAATTAAACATATACGCCTCTTACTAGCATTGATATTTATGCATTTAGAAGTACACTTACGCAGTAAAGTTCTTCCTTTGTTACGTAGGGGCGGTCGGAGGCAGTGATAGCGCGGAAAGCATTTTCAATTTCTTCGTAGGATTGGACATTCTCTGTTTCCTTTGAAATCATGAAAGCTATGTATTCTTGCAACGAAACATGTCCATCACGATTTGGATCTACAACATTAAGAATAGCTTCGAATTCTGGATCTGGTTGTCCTTCCTCAACCATGGGTAAATCATAGCCGAGAGCACGCAGACATGATTTGAATTCTTGGTGATTAAGTTTACCACTTTTGTCTTTGTCAAAGTGTTTGAACATCATTGAGAATTCTTTTAGTGAATCTTCGGATACTCCAGAATGATTGCGCGCTTGTATTTGTTGTTCTAAATTATGTTGCATGCGCATTGATAGTTGGTCTAGTTGATCCCATTGCTGTGCCAGGCCTACTGTTGAATGTTCTGTATAGCGATTGTCCAAGATCAAATGCTCTTCTAGTAACGCGCCCAATTCTTCGATTTTCTTCAAGTCAACACGACGGGCACGTACTTCGGTGGCCTTGATGCGAAGGGCTTCCAATTGCTGTTCCAACGAACCAGAGCCTTCCATCATACTAGTTCTAAATTAAAAGCATGTAAAAGTATGTTAATATAAAGAAATGGCAATCGACTACTTTTCTATCATTTTTTAATCAGCTTTTAGAAGTTTGTTATTATTTGTTAAATTTGCCTGCAACGCTATTCCAGATTAAAGGCTAGTTATTGAAAAAGCGCAGCTAACCAACAACTCGGTTGGTAAGTTATATTTTTCGCAATAAAAACTAAGTCTTTATTGTTTAACTAGCTTTTTAAGAAATTAAAAAGGGATTTTCTCAAATATGTATATATTATATTTCGGTAAGTATTATATGAATACTAATTAGAATATTATAAAAAAATAAAATAAGAAGTATCAAATATATATTTTATACTCTTCATTTAAACTACATATATTTTTCTATTACTCCATCAAGTGGTAAAGGTGGTCTTGAACAACCGGAGTAAAAGTTAATTAAAGAATAGGCGGCGATTAATGCAATTTAATGGTTCTCTAAAAAACCAAAGAAATTAAAAGTGTTGCGTTTGTAATAATGTATTTTCAAAAAATTGTAAAGTCGCATATGTGGAATAATTTAAGCAGACAGAAGCTATTTATGGTATTTGCTGTTAATCAAAAGTTATTCGCTAAGCACTTTTAACGCACACAGCTGCAATTGTTATTATATATCAGACATTAAATCATCAACGTTTTGCAATGTAACATTGGTTAGAAGAACGAACACTTGATCATAGTTAAGTAAAGAACTTTTACCCTTCTCTATTATAACCCAGCATATAATATCTAAAACAAAATATAAAAGAGTATAATTCGTCTCAGTAAGGTATGTGAAAAATATGATATTAAAAATAAATTTCATTGAGTCATAAATGATGTGAACCTTGTTTCCATATTTCCTTAGCAAGTAATACTTTCAAACGATACTTACCTCGTTTCGGTTAGCCACGTGTGGAATAGATTAGCGTGTTTGGCAAATTCCTTTCGCAGTTTATCGTTTTCCTCCTGACGCTTCGCCTCTTTAGCCAATTCGCCATCTCGCTCCTCTATGATCTTTTGCAAGTTGCGCCAGGTCTCTTCAAGAGCTTCCATGGTGAACCAAGTGTATGGGTTAGGCCCAACATTGAAGCTCTTGATCTTTTGATCAAGCGCTGCCAGAGCTTTAAAGTCGGCTTCGGCTGACGAAAGTGAAGCCTGGAATTGTGCGTGCGCATCGCGCAAAGCACGTATTTCTTCGATCGAATTGCAGCGAACAGGATCAGTAAGGTCCTCTTCGGCATTTTCGAACCAAGAATTGAAGGCCGAAGCTTTCTTCGCAAATGTCAAGTAGAGTTCCTCGATTTGGCGGAACTGATCTTGCATGGCCAACAAGCGTTGTTTACGTGTCTCCGAGGCTTCGCGAAGTTTATTCCAACGTGAAATGACATCTTCGTGACGTTTTAAAATAGCCGGTGATTGAGCGTGATTTGCGTTAATGAGTTGATCCTTCAGAGCGGTAATATTATGTATACCTTCTTGTTCGAATGCATTAAGACCTGCAATAAAAAAGCAAAGAAAAGTATAATTTTATAAAGAATATTCTAACCAGCATACACCGACAACTTTGTGGTATAATAAACAAAAAATATAAAAAAGGAGTTCTGGGTAATGCTTGCTTACCAGCATCAAATGTCTCTTGCTTAGTCAGTAATGTTTGAACTGTAGATAGATCACGCCCATATTCATCAGAGCGCACGTAATTCTCCTTATCGGCTATCCAGCTTTCAACAACATCAGCTTTCCACATGAATTGCAGATAAGCTGAATTGTCTAAGAGAGCGCCTTTGCGTCGAGCAGCCAAGGCATTTAAATTATCCAATTTATTTCGTAATTGTTGACAGCGTTGAGCGATTGAGTCACCATGGTGGTTTTTAGCTTCCACCAATTCACTTCCTTGATCGCAAATCAATGAGCAGCGATCTTTATGGGCTGCAAAATCAGTTTCAAATGCGTCGTGCTTCTTCAAAAGACCTTGGACAGCAGCCATCGAATCGCCGTAGTCGTCGACCGAGAGTAACTGTTGTTTTTCTGTTATCCAAGCCTCTTCTTCCTCGACTTGTGCCAAAAATTGTTGGTATATAAGGGATTCATCCAGTTTTTGTCCACGAGTAGCAGCCAAATTTTTAAGTTCAGCCCAAGCCTGATTTAAAGCCTTTAGACGTTGTTCAATTTCCGGTACACCCAAATTGGAGACATCCATTAATTTCTCACCCGCCTCTTGTACAGCCTGTATGGCTGGCTCGTGTGATGCCAATTCGGCTTCGAGACGTTTATGTTTCTTCTTTAGATTTTGTACACCCGTCAAATCGCGACCATAATCATCTGAACCAACCAATAATTTCTTTTCTTTGATCCAACTTTCTTCATCGGCAATGTCGCGGAAGAATTGATGTAAAGTAAGTGCCTCATTCAAACGTGCCTGACGATGTGCAGCCAAATTGCAGATGCGTTCATAACGTTCATTAATACTTTGGCGTTTCTCTTGAATACCAGCACTATCAAATTGTCCGCTGTCGACCAAGGAATCGGCCTGGTTGTTCATGTCCTTAATGCGGTCTTCGTGTGCCACGATATCCGCCTCTACCAACTGATGTTTCTTCATGAGGTTTTGGACTGATGCCAAATCCTTACCAGAATCCTCAGTGGTAAGCAAGCTTTCGACCTCGCCCAACCAGAAATCCAAATCCTTGACAGCAGCGATATACGTGCGCTGTTTATTAGCTTCTTTCAATTTCAACGATTTCTCCGTTGTCTTATGTGTAAGGTATTCCCATTGATCAGCAATTTGTGTCAAACGCTTTTGAACAGCATCTTCCGAACCGCTGCATTGTTTCTTGTCAATCAGGTTTTCACCCATAGCCAAAACACTTTGAATACGATCGGCATTTGCTGCCAATTCGGCTTCGAAAGCCTGATGTTTTTGGTGTTTCGATTGAATATTAGCTGGATCTTTGTAGCTCTCCTCGGTGGCAAGCTGCAATTTCTCAGCGATCCAATTTTCAATTTCATCAGCATCGCGAGAGAATTGTTGCAATGTCTGTTCATCGCCCAAACGTGAACGTTTCTCAATCAAACCTTCCTTAAGGTGTCGCCAACGCTCCAATACTTGCTTGCGCTTGTCATCAATCAGATTGGATGCATAGTGATTTTGATTAATTAATGTATCAGCTAATACTTGAAGAGCAGCTATCTTCTCTTCATGACCATTAATGGCCTTATCAAAATCTTCGTGTTTTTTAATTAAAGCCTCCACATTATCGCCC